ATAAAGAGTACGACTTAGGAAACCCTATGGGGCAATTCTACTCTGTCCTCTAGGATCATTATGACTTGGGATTGACTTGATGGTACATGACAGCAACAAACACCAAGAATAAGTGATTTAATAAATATTTTCAAATGAATGTGTGCACAAACTCTCTGCTCTTGTTAGAAAGCAAAAATCAACCTAGGTCTTTGGTCCTGTTTTCTTCTGTTGCTATTCACCTCCCACCTCAACATCCTCCCTTTCCTCTCCGACTAACCTAATTTTATCTACTATGTAAGGTAGAGGTTTTCAACATTTGCTGTACATTAAAATTGCTTGGTAAGTTTTACAAATAAAATAAAATAAACACCAACTGTCTGGCCACAATAGCAGAGATTTTGAGAGTCTAGACAGGGTCCTGGTAGTGGTATATTACAAATGCTCCTGGCTAAAGTACACTCAGGTTTGAGAACTTGATTTAAGGTGAAACTCAAGTCCTACATTTAAAAACGTAATGTGCCTCTGATGATTTAAAAAATCCGGAGGCAGAGTAGTTATTGTTGTAACCACTTGTTAAATAATAAGCAAAATGCTGCTTTGTGACAGTACCTTAGCATTAACTCCTGCATTCAATTTTGATTATTCATGTGTATATATTCATCTCCCATATTAGACCAGAAGAACCTTGAGGGCAGACACTCTCACACTCTCTTCTACTTCTTGGAGTCCTGGTGTGGCGCTGTACAATCCTTACTGGACTGCTAATCATAAGGTTGGTGGTTCAGACTCACCAGCAGCTCCTTGGAAACCCTGAGTCAGAACACTCACAGCACATAACAACTTTGTATTCATTCTGGAGGCATTTATTGGGCAGGCCAAGGGAAGGGGCTGTGCCTAGAAGCAGGTGTTGGGCCACCTGGTGATGACAGGAGGCCTGTGCTGGTGACGCAGGACCTGGTGGGGCAGAGGGTACTTGATCTTGGAGTCGCAGACTAACAGCACTCACTGACTGCAATCTCCACCTTCATGATGAGGATAAAATGGGCACAGGTGCAGTGTTAGCGCCCATGTCAGGGTAGCACTGGGCGATGGTACCCGCGGTGGTCAGGTCCCAGTACTCCCAGGACCGTTTCAGGAATTGTAGTGCAGCCAGATGCCCAAGTTCTTCACCTGCAATGGGGATTCTCCAACACCTCCCAGAGTACATGATCTCCCAGGAAGATTTCTTCATTTTCTTCAGCAGTGACACAAAGTACCGGAAGTGGGACTTGGTGAAGATGTGGTTTGGAGCAAAGATGCTCATTCAGTAAAGTGGCTGTGTCTTACACTTGGGGTAGGCAAGAGCGACCCACCACCTTGTACCCATGAAGTGTGCCCAAGGTCTTCAGGGCGATGGCTCTGGGACTGCCACCACCAGCAAGAGGAAGTATCTGCTCCCACATCTCAAAATGTATTTTTGATGATTGAAAAAAAGAGAATCAAGACTAGTCCATTTCTACTCCAAGGACACATCTCTGGTAGGAGGGATAAGTATGTTGCAAAAAAGGGTGGAGCAGAACTGAAGCAGAGTAGAAAAAGAGTAAATAAAAGTCAAATGGAAAAAAACTAAATTAGTCCAAAAGAAAACGTTCCCCAGCTTTGTAAGAGGATTTTTGCAAACACTGGAGCAGAATAAACAAGTGAATTAACTTGGCTTGTGCACTGATAAGGAGATTTCTTTCTTGGTTATATAATTCTACAAAGTTTCTCGCATGTAAAGAAAATAATCAGCCAGGAAGACCTCCTTTCCCTTCCCTCACTATACAATTCAGCTCCTGGGTTAATCGCCTCACAGATCTGTTCAGCTTGACCTGACCCCCTTCCAGTCCTGTGATCTCAGACTAAGCCTTACAGTCAAGGGCCCTGGTGTAGAAATAGGATAGAACATAATCCTCACTCTATAGCCTTCATCCCTTGATGTAGTGGTCTCTGTTTATGTATTAAAATAAATAAACTGGCCATACTGAGCATCTACTCCAAGTGACTGGTGCTGCCATGTCTACCTACTTACCCTAAAGTGACCAAGGCATGTTCTCCTACTAAATAGGACTACAAAGTACTATTTGGTGCAATTACCTTAAAGGCTAGCTTTCAAGTATTGTTTGGTGTCCATATCCCAGAAAAGGTTTCTCTTCATATGACCTGCTATATATACTTTGCCACAAAGTGAAAGCCACAGAAAAAGGCTCAATGATTCACTAAGCACACTCTCTGTTAAGGCAAGATAAGCATATCAGATAGAGATATATTTTTATATCAAACTTTAGCCTACTTATTAAGCTACAAAGTTAACAACTAGCCCCAAACACATGCACATGTCTATATTAAATGTAACTTCTTCTGCCTATGTTAGCTGCTTTAACACTAGGCTAATTTTACTTAATTTTGAATTATTGTGTGAAAGCATGATTCAAGGCATTTAATTCTACTCCTGATTGATTAGTAATGACTGTAACAAGATGTCCTTTGTAGATAACACAGCTGACTCATCTAATAGGAAATGAATTCATAATCACTGATCCATTCATACTCCCCTCCTGGTTCTCCTCAAGACCAGTGACCTGAATGAGCCAAGAGCCAAGAGCTACCAAAACCTTCCATTCACCAAAGACACAAAACCATCATACTGGGTCTACCATGAACTTCCTATTGACAGCAACAAAATGAAAATGACAGGTTACTTAACAGAAAAATGTGACTTTAAATTCTAAATTGGTTAAATGATAAATTCTAACTAAACTCAGTTAAACTGAGATTCTTGAATCTATGACACTATCGGTTTGAACCACAAGGTCGGCAGTTCAACCTTACCAGCTGCTCCTTGGAAACCCTATACAAGGTCTCTATGAGGCACTAACTTGACTGCACTTAACAACAACAACAACAATAAATAATAGACTGAATCACAAAATCAGTATGTTAAAATGAGAACACATTCAAAATCTCAACCAGAGATGAACTACAGACTTTCAAGGACTATGGTTAAGAATCCATGAAAATGAATGAATCAACACTGATCCACAAAGAATTTCGCTTCCCTAAAAGGAGCTCTGGTAGCCTAGTGGTTACGAATTGGGCTGCAAACTGCAAGGTCAGCAGTTCGAAACTACCAGCTGTTCCGTGGGAGAAAGATGAGGCGTTCTGCTCTTGTGAAGATTTATAGCCTCGGAAACCCTGTACAGGGTCGCTATGAGTTGGAACCAACTCCACGGCACATAACAACAACAACAAAATAGGAGTTAGAAGTTCTGATAGCATAGTGGGTTATGAATCAGGATGCTAACCACAAGATCAGCAGTTCAAAACTACCAGCTGCTCCAGGGGGAGAAAGATAAGGCTTTCTGCTTCCATAAAGATCTACTGCCTAGGAAACCTGTCAAGGGTTGTTATGAGTCAGAACCGACTCCACAGCACATAACCATGAGGGTGACATCATCAAATAGAAGTTAGGTAGTAGTGCTTGACAATCCATAATTATATTCCTGACAGCTGGAATTCCTGATGATTAATTACCTCGGGCACAGGCCAAAGGTCATTAGGTTCTCCAGAAATATTTCTGGATGAATTCCACTAAAAAGAGAAGTAAAGGATTCAGAGCCCAGAACACTTGAGTCATCAGGGGGCAGGTATCACCGCCAGAGCCTGAAAATTCCAGAATGTTTCTCTACACGCAAACAAGCCACTCCATCTTCTCAGTATAGGGCTGACTCGATCACCAAACTGGAATGCTATTTACACAGTCCTAAGCAAACCAAGAAGAATCCTCTTGTCTGTAACCAAGGGCACTTGGAAAGTTATGTCTGAAACAGGCAAAGGCTCATGTTTGCCTTTCATGATTTCTGGAAAAGGGCCAATTTACCTAATGCAGGTAAAGGGCAACAATTCTCCTTCCCAGATGCCTTCTCTAGCCAGTACCACCAGCATAATTCTTCATGCCTCTTTGATTAATAACTTGGATTTGTTCTGTATTTAGTAAAATGCACATCTATTGTTTCTGAATTCTGCCCTTTCCAACAAATCAGAATAAGAATCTTGCTTTCTTTCCCTTCTGCTTGCAGGATCGAGATGGAATCTAGTTCACACCACAGGATAAAATTAAGGTTGGGCAGTAGGAAAAGTAAGTTTTCTGATAAGTAAACATTTTCTCAAAGAAGCAGACTGTGGTGCCCATTTCTTTGAGGTAGACAAGAAGATCAAGAAAGAGGTAAAATAAAATAACCTTTCTGGGAATGAAAAGGGAGAATTCTCTCAAGACCAGGGTGTTGTTAAGTGCCATTGAGTCAGTTCCGACTCACAGTGAAAATGTATAGGGTTTCCGAGGAGCGGCTGGTGGGTTTGAACTCCCGATCTTGTGGTTAGCAGTACAGGATTTATCTTACAGTGCCACACTAAGACTCCAAAAGATACCATACAGAAAGAAATATGAGAAAAATTATCAACCTTCTGGAGTTATCTCTGGCATTACTTAGTACCTGAAGCTACTGACTTAGGAGCTAATGTAAGTATACCTAGTATTTGTGGAATAGTTCATTTACTTGAAAAGATTTGGCTGGCCTAAGATTTTCAAAGCATACCAACATCAGAAAAAGAACCATCACCATTTAATTCATACACAAATGATCTGGTGTTCAACAAAGACAAAGTGATTATCTACTTTTTAGAGATGGGGCTCCCTCGAGGTGTGGCCCTTACTTACTTGTAAGTGATTACAAGTATCAGAGGAAATGTTAACTCTCTGGAATCTGTTTTTATACTTTTTCTGGGGTGTGACTTTTTTCTCCGTTTTATTATGAAGGTCATTGGGGTAGGTGGGGATGGTGCTTTCTTTAGGAAAATTATCATCGCCCACCCTCCACCCTCACCCCCACCACCACTGACCCAGGAATAGACAATGTGGCCAATACTTGCAGAAAATGAAGCCTCAGCTTGTGAGATAGATCTTGTGCTCACTGTGACAGTTTCCCAGTCTAAATGCTCACCTGTCTTCTCTCTGAATCAAGGAACTGAAAAATCAGCCTGGTGTTCACACTGTGACTCCACGTGTTTCCTAGTGCAGCTGTCACACAGCTGGATCCAGACGTGCCTGAAATGAAACCAGGCAAAACCATGGTTATGAGTTCCTTTTCTTTTGATGGGATTTCACATAGACAGAAGTCTGGTTGTCACACGTTGCTCAGGGAGCACGTGGGGTATGGGTTCATTATTAAAACATTGATGAGTTAGAGAAGATAGAGGGGGGTTTAAGGGATAGAGCCACCATAAGTTTTTTTGTTTTTTTTCAGCCTCAGTGAAAGAGTCCACCACTAGGCTAAAAGATAACAGAGTTATATGTCAACAAGAGGGTGCATTGTAAGGCAGCTGGAGCCATTGCTAATAATAAATCAAGTCATTCCATATTTAAGGCAGAAAGGCATAATGCTATTCCACAGAATAAACGACAGTTGTGAAACAGTTTAACAGAGTTGTAAGACTTCTTTACCTTGATAAGAGTCTTAGCTTAATTTTCCTTATCAGCATAGAAATGGTAGCATATGGATAAAAATCTTACCCCCACTGCACCCACCCCCACCCCTTGCCCCATTACAGGCAGAAGATGAATCTGCAAGATCTCACCATTTCATATCTAATCAGTGTTAAACCATCTTATTCCAAGAGAAATATTCCTTTACCTTCTAACACTTTGCTATAAAGAGGACAATCTGAAGTGCACTTTATCTGGGATCCTAGACTACTCAAAGTTTTAGTTCCACTACTAGCTTCCACTCCCGAGCTTCACTGATTTCTCTTAGAATAACTCAGAGAAAACCATTCTTGTTCTCCTTCTGTCTCGTACTCCTTAGAGGCAGGCCTGCAAATCTTACCACTTAGAAGTCAATCTCTACTATCAGAACCAGCCCATTCTAAGGTCTCCTTGTGACTTCACCCCAAGCCATGGGAGGAATCCTAGCTTTAGGGGAGAACAGTTGGGCATTTACTCTGCTGCTTTGTACCCTCAAGGTACTATCTCTTTACAATGAGTGGATTAAAGGACAGAGAGGTTGAAGTCTAAATTAGGTAAAACCATATGAGCCACGAATGCCTGACAGAACTGCAGAAATACAGGCGTGGACATTCTTTTTTTGGGTATCTGTTCATTGGTCTCTCGCTGTCTGCACACCTCCATTCTGGTGACTAGAGGGGATGCCTGAGCGAATGGACACCCCACCCCCATCCCTGGAGGGTTCTACTACACTTGCACACAGATCTCCTCATAATTTAAAGTGACAGTTTCCACTTAAAACCAAACGGCCACGACTCGTCTGTCAGTTTGTCTTACTGAGGTGGCTTGTGAGTTGCTGTGATTCTGAAAGCTATGCCACCGGTATTATAAATACCAGCAGGGTCACCCATGGTGGACAGGTTTCAGATGAGCTTCCAGACAAAGACAGACTAGGAAGAACGAGTGATGAACTACTTCTGAATACTTAGTCACTGAAAACCTTATGAATAGCAGAGAAACACTGTCAGATATAGTGCCCGAAAATGAGCTCCTCAGCCTGGAAGGCACTCAAAATGTGACTGGGGAAGAGCTGCCTCCTCATAGTAGAATTGACTGTGATGACACGAATGGAGTAAGGCTCATGGGAGAAAAGCCCACGGGACCTTCATTTGCTGATGGGGCACAACTCAAAATGAAGAGAAACAGCTGTAAACATCCATTGAAAATCGGATCATGGAATGTATGAAGTATGAATCTGGGAGTATTGGAAGTTGTCAAAAATGAAATGGAACGCATAAACATCGATATCTTAGGCATTAGTGAGCTGAAATGGACTGGTATTGGCCATTTTGTATCTGACAACCACATAGTTTACTATGCTGGAAAGGACAAATTGAAGAGGAATGGTGTTGCATTCACAGAGAAAAATAACATATCTAGATCAGGAGGTACAACGCTGTCTGCGATAGGATCATATCCACATGTCTACAGGGAAGCCCAGTTAATACCACTATTATTCAAATTTATGCACCAACCACTAAAGCCAGTGAGGATGAAATAGAAGAATTCTAACAACTTCTTCAATCTGAAATTAATCAAACATGCAATCAAGATGTCTTGATCATTACTGGTAATTGGAATGCAAAGGTTGGGAGCAAAGAGAAAGGATCAGTAGCTGGAAAATATGGCCTTACTGATAGGAATGATGCTGGAGAATGCATGATAGAATTCTGCAAAATCAATGATTTGTTCATTTCAAATACCTTCTTTAGACAGCTAAGAGACGACTATACACATGGACCTCACCAGATGGAATACATAGAAATCAAATTGACTACATCTGGGGAAAGAGACGATGGAAAAGCTCCCTATCATCAGTGAAAACAAGGCCAGGGGCAGACTGAGGATCAGACCATCAATTACTCCTATGCAAATTCAAACTGAAGCTGAAGGAAATGAAAACAAATCCACGAAAGCCAAAATATGACCTTGAATA